TAGTCTGGAGTTTAAAGCTGTTTTGTCATTTTCCTTCTTGGTTCTCTACTAAACCAGTGTAATCTGTCTGGTATTTCTGACTTCAAAGACTTTATCACAGATAGTTGACTTTCCCCAGGGTTTTAACTTAAACCTAATCTAGGATCTAATTTTGTCTCTGAATTCCACTATCCTTTGATGAGTAGTCATGGCGATAGTGCACACTACCTTGGCTTGGACGTGCAGATATTTGCTTTCTTCTTAGGGTAACAACTGTACCCTTGCATGTCCACAGTTCTAATAACACTTCTTGAGATTGTAAATTTTTAGTGAATCTTTAATTGGTTAGTTGAAGGCCACTATGCCATGCCTTTTGCCTCTCTTCTAAATAAACAAACACACACACACACACATACACACACAAATGTGTTTATGTCATTTATTTTTTAACTACTGTTTTAATAACCTGTTTTCCTCCTGATTAAGGGGCCAGTTCTGGCGATGCTGAGATCAAGAGCCATGCCTGTTCTCTCCAGGGTGATGGAGGTGAGCAGAACCTTCTTTCAAAGGTGATGTTATTGTGAGCAGAAATGGTGACATACTTTTTACTGTCCACTTTGGCAAGAATGCTTGAAGTCAAATCTAATCTGAGTCAATCTTCATTTCCTTTTCTCTTTACCATTAGACACAGCTGTTTTTATACTTCACCCCTGAATTGGTCAGGTTTCTATTGCTGGGCAAGATGCCTTATTGTTGCAACTTAAAGGAGAAGTTTATTTGGATCCACAGTTTCAGAGGGTTCAGTCCATGCATAGTCAGCTGGTTCCAAAGCAGAAACATCACAGTAGAGCAGTATGGCGGAAGAAAGCTTCTCACCTTGTGGTAGCCAGAAAACAAAGGGCAGAGGAAGATCAAGAGAGGAGGAGAAGGCCAGGAGCCAGATATAATCCACTGGGTCACACCAGTGACCCACTCAGAAACACCCAGTGTGCTTTACTAATCTGCTTGGCATCTCTCAAGCCAATCAAATTGACAACCAAGATTAACCGTCACATTCCCCCTACCTATTAAACACTGTAGGGGTTGCCCATTGGGAACCAAAGGTTACAGCTACAAAAGAACTAAAGGTGAAGACCTCCTGCTCATAGCTCTCATACTATGTATACCTCCCAGTGAGTCCCAACCCATCTTCTCTAAAACATATGTATAGATTTTCTTATCACCTTCTTATCTAAAGCTAAAGGCCTCAAGGCTGGTGTGGTGGTGCATGCCTATAATCCCAACACTCAGGAAGCTGAGACAGGAGGACTGTGGTGAGTTCGAGTTCAAAAAAACCCTGGGCTACAAAGTGAGCTCAAGGCCAGTCTGAATTGCATAGCGAGATCCTGTCTCAAAAAGACAATAAATAAATAAATAAATAAATAAACAAATAAATAAATAAATAAATAAAAATAAACAAAATAAAACAAAATAAAAATTAAAAAAATAAAATAAAATAAATAAAATAAAAAAATAAAGCTAAAGGCTTTCTCTAAGCCAGGGTGAAATGTCTTGTCAAAACGGTAACTATAAACATAATTTTAAACACAATATAAAAAGATCTATCTACAAGATGGTAAAAGATCCAGAAAAAGACATTCTTTAGATAATCACACATGCTGTCCAGATCCTTTTTCTGTACCTTCAAATCCTTATAGAAATCGCAGTTTGTCATCCTGATTGTGTGATTTTTGTCTTGGAAATTCACCCACTGTCCCTCTTGACGGTATACCCTGATCTAAAGAAACTCTTGTCTTTCTACATTCTTTGTCTATTAGTAAATTCTTTTTACCACCTATGTCACTCGTCTTGCACAACTCACTCATGGTACAGATACTGTCTGGCTATATGAACTTAGAGCAATTATTTAGTATCTTAGAATCTCAGGTTCCTAAAATTTTAAATAGGAATTTAATATCACCCAAGATTTAAATGCTGTGAGAAATGCAACACAGACCTAACCCAAACCCTTAAAATTGAGATAAAATGGATAAAAATACTGATAATTGCAGAAGCCCTGAGAGTTCTCAAAATTCCCAGAAAGCTTAATTTTTGTGTTTGCCTTGTACTGCTTTTCTTCTAAATAATTTTTCTGCCAAAATATTTTGTCTCAACTTGCCTATGGGACAAAACTTGGCTATGTCTTCACAACTATTTTTCCAATATAAGGTAACAACCCCTTGTCCTCCAAAGCCCCTGAGTGCTGGCCTGTGCATGTGTAGACGTTTTCAGAAGGCTCAGGCAATGCCCAGGAGTCACATTACCAATATCCACGTTAGCCTTTCACGTCTTGCCTCCACCACATTCTTCAGCTTCTCACATATAGTTCTCCTCTCTCTACTTCTTTTTAATTTTTTTTATTTTATGAAAAAATAAAATAAATTTTCATAACCAAATAATCGGATAACAAGTTATTACATTATGAATTATTATTTAAAGTAGTTACTCACTACAAGCCCCTCTGCTCCTATTACTTCTCTTGCTTCTCCTCATGCCCTCACAGAAGCAGTTTAACATCACCACACTTTCTTACACACAACACCTTAATTACATTTCATGGCTGCTTGAGTCTCGACTAGCTGTAGGGTCTTACCTTCTATCCTGAGGCTTAGCAGGAAAAGGCGGTTTTATCCCCAAGAGTGATTTGGATGCCAACTAAGGTAAGTTCAAGGTAACATTCTGTTTTAGAAAATTACCCCACTATTTTCATTATCATAGCTTCTACTACTGTTAAAACTTAGTACTGGATGTACTGCTGCCAGATCTGTTATGTGGACCAAGTTTTATAACAAGTTGCAGAGTAAAACTCAATTCCAGCCTTTCAGAGTGACATAGAGAAGTCTACAGGCATCTCAGAAAATTTTGAGAGCTCACTAGTTCACACAGAACCACTCAGTCAAAGGGTAAGTAAAGGACTCATTCCTTTTTTGAATAGTTTCCCTGTCCCATCTCATGGATTGTAGGTTGTTTGGTGAGGATAGATTTTCACCCTGTCTCTTCAGGGGGACATTAAAACGGAAGGAAGAACGAAGTTGCCAAGTCAAGAAAAAAATTTAGAACTTTGGAGAAAAGGGGAAGTGAAGAGACAGTTCAGCTTGCAGAGAACAGGAAAGCTGGGGGAAGAATCAGCGATCTATAGAATAATTTTGTTAATTTTTCACAGGATGATTAGCTATGAAGCCTCTTTCTTACCCCACCTGTTTCTCCCTAGGTCATTATAGATCTGGGTCTGCTTTAGGCCTGTTGAAAAATAGAGCCAAGTATCAGGGAAGCTAATGGTTATACAGGAAGTATGTGGCAATTGGGTAGCAGATTTTTCATGTCGGAGTTGAAGCAATACGATTAGATTTTAATGTAGGGAAATATTTCTGCAGGAAACAACCATAGTGTACCCCAGTCAAATTGACCTATGGTGAACTTTTCCAGAGGAATGGATAACTCTGTGCTCCTTTGTTGTGTCAGAGGTGTGCACCATACCATTGCTCCACTGTCTGAGCAGTAGATATTGTAAACTCAGCACCGGTAATGAATTAAAGGAACCAGGTTTAGGAAGGAAGACACTTTATTTGAAAAGAGAGAAAAGTAGAAGATAGAAAGCTGTCCTGTACCAGAGCAGGGGGCATCAGAAAGGCAAATACTCATGGGCCTTTGTCCTCAGCTTCCTTTTATTATGTCTTGGGGAACTCTTCCCCCGTTAGGTTGATACCTGGAACTTGTCACAACCTGATTGGCTCTCTGGCCTGTCACAGATGGACCCCAGGCCCTAAGACCCTAACCTGGGCACCACTGCCTGTGTGCACATTCCTTTGGTGTACTTTGTTTGTTCTCAACATGCCCACTTGTCCTTGTTGGGCCTTGTGTCTGGGATTTATAGATTGATAAGCCTTACAGACAAGGCAACTTAAAGTCAGTGATTAAAAGTCAGCAATTTAAAGGTTAGTGATTTAAAGTCAGGGATGTGTGTTATCTAGTACAGCAATGGAATACACATATACATATGTGTGTGTGGGTAATTTTATATACTAAATAAGAGTTTTCTTTTAAGTGGCCACCCCTTGTCTCTTTTGCATTTTATTGAAAGTGGGCAAGGGGCTACTAAATTAGTTAAGGCACCTGGCTTCCTCCATGCTCTGCTTATCACCTCTCTCTCTCTCCCTCTCTTCTTCTCCCTCTCTCTTTCCAGTCAGGATTTTCCAGAAATCCTAATGAGGCCATATTCTATTCTTTTCCTGTCTACAGACAGATCTCCTACACTTTGAACCCCGTTGCTTTCATAAAAATTAGTATTCTGGGTAACAGGTGAATGACTTCATTTAATATGGAGAACAGTTGTTTGAGGAAGATAATGGTATCCCCATTTCATCAGCAGCTCTGCAGTTCACAGAGGTAATGACTCACCTAGGTCACACCAGGAAGACAGAAACAGGATCCTCATGGTGTCTGACTCCCCACCCCGTGCCTTTCCCCCTCACCCCGATGCAGGTAGGTAAGGGAGCTGGGAGAAGGAAAGGGATTAATTTTAGCATGTTGATGGATCTTTCTACCTGTTTTAGCTTTTCTTTATAACATCAAAGCAATGTTACCTGCAGCCAACTGTACATTGATGTCTCTAAATTTACAATATAATGCTCATAAGAAAAAGGATTGACTTCAGGAAATCTGGGTGAGTCTAATAAGAAGAGACAGCAGGACCCCAAATTAAAACATAATACAGGGTACTATCCTGTTCTCTCTTTTTATTTGGTGCTAATGGGTACTGCACACGGAAGTTGAGGTTTGGGATGGCTGGAGAGGGTGGGACGGCTAATGTAGTTACAAAGAATGACCTTTATTTACAGAAGGAGAGTGCAGTGCAGATAGGACTTTTCTAACCTGAGTAAGACCCCATGAACTCCCTGAATTGGAAGGACAGGACAACATCAACTTTATGAAATTTCTGTAAGAGGGTACCCCACAGTATACAAAAGACTGAGGAGGTAAAGTCTGATCTGCAAGAAAATTTATCTGCAGTTACATGTGTATCAAATTTTCAAAATATTTAGAAGTATTATCATGACCATATTGAATTGAAATGGAAAACAAGAGACAGGAAAAAGCAAAACCAGATATATTTATATTTCACGGTAATCTCCCCCTCCCCGGTCTTGTTTCTCTACAGAAAGATAACAAAAGATTGAGCTATATAAACAACAACTGTGGGCCAGGGATGGGAGTGATAAGGAGCAAACTGGGAATAGAAGGGGCTATTGATCACTTAGATGTCCTTCCAGACACACTGAAGGACGCACACTTCATCTGTGATGTAGGAGACATCACTATGCAAAACTCTTCATGGAAGGATTCTAAGTCATTTTCCAATGATTCTTTAGTATCTCCAGGGTGTGGATTAGTATGGGTCATCCATGCTGAAAGAAAAGCAAGCAATTATCAGATAAACAAAGGAGGTTTAACAACTGCCAACATTAAAGTGTTAATAATCAAGGAAAATATTCCCTAAAGGTGAGAAGAAGCACAAGGAAATGCTCTCAGCTAGAAACACTGGACCCAAGTATAGGACATTTTAAGGCACATGGGAAGAGGACTGGACCATCAGAGGTGGCATTAAAATGCCAGTGGATTCAGTGAGTCTGTGGGGCCCAGGGTTCTGCATCTCTAAGCAGCTGCCAGTGATGTTCATGCTGCTGGTCACAGATGCCACTTGGACAGATGTCTATTTGGCAGCTGATATCTCCAGGTCTGAGTAGTCTGAAGAATGCTGGGTGTGAACACGGGAGACTCAGGAATGTGAAAGATGACATATTCAAATAGAGAAAGTCAAATCAGAGAAAATCAAAGCTCATGAAAGGAATAGTATTAGGTCTAAATGTCTCACTCTGGTAGGATATGATTTGAGCTGTTGACAAATTTAGTTTTATGAAATAAATGGCACTTTTGTATGTGTTAAACTGTATCATTCTTGGAAAGGAGGGGTAGAATCAAATTTGGTGTGTCTTAGCACCTTTCAAAGTCTCAGATTCTGAGACTCTGGTCTCACAATGAGCTGTCAGGGCAAACCACAGCTGTGCAGCTGCAAACATGCTTGCCAAAATAGAGATGAAAATGTTTCTGAAAACAGAATCTAACAACAGATACCCTCCTCTGAGGTTGGCATCGTATCTTCCTGTGTATCTTGGGTGTAGCTTTTACCCAAGTAGAATTTAGAACTGGAAACCAAACATGATAAACAGAACCAGTTTGCAGAAGAGTCAGAAAAACCACCAAGAAACAAAACCACATTTGCCCAGGGAGTCATTCATTCACCAGCCTAGAGCTGATAGGAATTAGTAAAAGGATGGAGAGCATCAGCTCCACGGCTTAAAAATAAATCAGCACCTAGTGCTTTAGTGTTCATTTTACCTGTGGCTTTCTCTAGAAACATACTCTGTTTCTTGCACTCCAGCCTTCCTCAGTGCCATGACACAGTGGTTCATTGGGGAAAAAAAATCACATTAGTAGAAGAAGAGGGCAAGTGGGACTTGTAACTGTAATGTAAGAGTCAGGTTTTCTGAGTTCTAGAATTAAGATAACTGGATCACATGATACTTGGATCCAGATGCTTGAAAATCTGTTATGCCACTTATTCACCGATGTCACTCTAGTTGTTGTGACTCTCTGTGCCTAGTGTAATGGGGATATTAATAGTACCTGCTCTCACAGGCTTGTGGGCAACATTTACTGACTTCATTGAAATTAATATTTGATAAGAATTTACTACTAACTGTCACTAGTTCAAGGCATACAGGAAAGTTATTTAATTAGTTCTACTACCAAGAGAATTTGAGAATGATGTCTACCAAGATTCTCTCCAGACCTAAAATTCTATGAGTCTATGAACTAAGGTCACTGTGGTCAATAAATGAGAGTTGTCCCAGGGTGGCTGAGCAATTGCTCGGTTCTTCCAGACCATCTGATAAAGCAACTGGGGCTCATGTGGGTGGAGCCAATCTTCCTTTCATCTTCAATTCCACAGAAACTCAATAAGCCATGGGCTCCAGGCCCTTTTCATGGGCTCCTTACCATGGGTTTGCAGCCACTCCAATGTACCATGATTTACTTCATTCTCTCCGGATTGCCCTCCTTCTCTGATTCTCTCCATCAACCTCAACCCCAAAGCAATCCAATTTCCACCACCTTTATAAGATTGTTCTGTGATCACCAAGCCCACTGATCTTTCTTTTCACCAATACAAGATTCACTAGCCATTACCCCACTCTGCCTTGTACTTTTCTAATTTTATTTTCTTTTTCCTGTATTTCTGTCTTAACTTCCCAACAAGATAGTAATCTCTCTGAGGCTAGGGACAAGAGCTCACTCCTCTTGCTGGCTCAATCAAGCTTGGCGTTGTTCTAACACAAAACAGTTCAATAAACAATGATTAATTCATTCATTGTAAGAATCAGTGAATTATTAAACTTAAGGTGGCAATTTGCTTAATTTGGTAATTAACTTCATGCTAATATCCTTCCAGCCAACTTTTCTTCCAGTTCCCTCAAGACATGTGAAAACCTGGATCGATCTGTTTCTATGTAGTAACAGTTAAAATAGGTGGTTCCTGTGGCCAGAAAATAGACCTGGGTAGACTGTGCCAGAAAAGACTTTCACTCAGTGAGTAGGAGCATGAAAGAAATCTTTGCATCTTGTGGGTTTCCTGCCACAAAAATAGAGAGGCCAACTCCAAAAAGGGACCCCTTTCCTACTAGGACCCCATCTGCACAATTAAAGAAAGATAAGGTAATAGAATAAAAAGCACCTCCACTGGCCCTGTGCTGCCATCCAGTACCCCCATCTCTCCTCCCCTTTGTAGCCAAGCTTTTTCAAGAGATGACTGCATGTTCTGCCCTGCTTTCTCATCTAGAATAATTTCTTAACCCTTTGGCATCTGACTTCTGTCTGCACTGAAAGTGGCCTCCCTACTAACACCCTAGTTATACCCACTGGAAACATGGGTTCTCCTGCCCCTATTTGAGACTATTTCCATTTCCTTCTTCTTTGGTAATTGTGTTTCCTGGCTCTTCCCCATTTTGCTTCTACCTCTCTGGCCACCTGTTTTCACTCTCCTTTTCCTTGGCTGACTTGAATGTTGATGTCACTCTGGTTCCCATCCTCTGCTATGTCCTTTTCCCTCCTCAAATACATATTCACTCCTGGGATGGCTGCGACCTCCTGAAATGGGAGAACCCCAAGTCCTTGTCTCCTGCCCCAAGATAGGACCTGTGTGGTGGATAGATCCCACAGACTACAGACAGACCACAGACACCTGAAGCTCAACATGTACAAACGTGAACTCAAGATCTTTACCTTCAAAATGTCGCATTCTTTTATGTAAGGCTGTAAATACTACTACCCACCAGTTTCCAAGTCAGAAACATAGTAATCTCTCTCTCTCTCTTTCTGTCTCTCTCTCTTCCTCTCAATCTCTCTCTCCTTCCCTCCCTTCCCTTCTCCATTAAGATCCACTTTCAGTTAATTCTACCCCCTCTTATCTCATGAACCCAATTTCACTGCAGTTTCTCCAGACAGCTTTAGCCTAATGACTTCACATGCCCCTCAAATAGTCTCTTTGGCCCCAGACTCACCCACCTCCCGTGGTTCTCCCTCTGCTGTGTAGTGACTCTGATAATAGGCAGATATGACCCACACTGATATCTTCAGTAATACCCCCAAGAACTCAAGGTAAGGTCAGTATTCCTTAGTATGGCTGATTGATGACATTAAGATCTGACTTTCGTATCTCTTCTCCACCCTGAACTCCAGCTCACTAAACTAAACTTTACTAAGCGATCACTTGTGATTGGCAGGATAGTTGTCTGAACAAGTGCTCAACCTCTTCAGGAAACCCCTTGCTTCATTTTCAGCATTTAAAAAAACTCAGTTGTCCAGCTGGGTGCTCAATATATCACCAAAATGCATCATCACAGTTCTTTTTACTTATACGCCCCTTGCTAAAATTTTAAAGCAAGTCACTAAACTCATAAAAGTGAAATATTTTGCCATTTTCATTTCTGCCAGACACTTTATTTCTTCAGGTTAAGAATATGAGTTTTGAGACCAAACTAAAAAAAGAAGTCTCTTTGGGAAGCTATGGATAGAATTCATGAGCCCGGCCTTTCCATGTTTCTGAAGGTCAGCGCTAGTGTTAGGGTTAAGATAGTCATTAAGGTTAGGGTAGTCATTACCCTTCTGTGTTGGGTCTGTGGTCTAGGATGGGTCTACGGTATATTAGTGTCTCAATAAATGCTTCTCAATTATAACATGTAGGTCCTTTATGTCTGTTTAGCCTGTAATCCTCAACAAAATAGAAACAATCAAGAATAGCTCCCTTTACATAAACTGTCCCTTCCTAATACCTCTACATTTATTCATTCATTCAGCTGTACTAACACCAAACACAGAGCTTTGCAGGAAGACTACTGATTTATCACTTTATCTGGAAACTTCATTTAGATGAGATTCCCAGGTTAACAACTGCTAAGGGGTTAATGTGCCTAACTATAACAGGACATATCCTAAGGAAAATAAAGAAAGGATCAAAAGATATGGAAACTTCACCCGTAAAACTTACTTACCTTTTCTGAGATCTCTTGCCTAAAAATAGGAAAGAAAATAGACAAATAGAATCAGCCAAAAATACACAATATCAAGTTTTTAAGTAAGGGATCCCCTCATCCTCAAAACTGTCCTTTGGAGTACACTGCAGATTTGTTAGGTAGACCTTCATCTGTCTCTAAGGGGTTTGGAGCACTGGCTTAATTATCTAACTCAAACAGTGTCCAACAGAACTCCAACAGAACAGATGAGTTAATGCCTGCACCTCTGAGGTTCCATGCCATTCTTGAGCTGATCATGAAAACAGAAGTCTTGGCTCTGTCGCCTGGTGCTCAGCCCCAAGATGCCCATTCATGTGTTTATCCCACATCTCGTCCTACCTGAAGACTCTTCCCTAAGGGATTCAGCTGCTAATACTGTAAGAAAATGTATCACAGCATTTCTCAGCATCTTCTCTGTCTGAATCCATAAGAATATTCCATTCTGGTCTCATTATTAGGAATTGCACAACAATATCTGAGAAACTACTGTATTTGCATCTTACAAACACAATGACTAACATGGCTGGTTATGCTTTCCCTTTGGACTGGCTGCAAGGAAACACAGAGCCGGGCCTGGTACCCTCTCCTATCATGCACAGAGGACTTCTTGTCACAGGCATTTCTGTGACCTACTTAAGTTTTGGTTCCAACTTATTTTTTGTGCCCCAAGTTTTTGCTTCTTGCAATTTGCTGTGTTGAATTCATTCTGTAAACTGTCTTACATTCTTTTTGAAAGAAGCAAAATATAAATAAATACATTAAAGAATGACTGCAGGATTTGAGGCATAGAAGAAATCAAAACAAAAGAGAAGAAGAGAGGGAAAAAGAGAGATAGAGAGAGAGAGAGTAACTCTTTGATGAGAAAGACTTATTTGGGGGGCTGTATATTTCAATGGCTGCAACTCTGCCCTCTGAATCATCCCACTGAGGTGAAGACAGCTTTTTCCCACCTGCAGGGTGTGTATCTTTGAACAACTACGTTTTCTCTAAGAGCCATGATTCTTCATCTGTAAAAGGGTCAAATAAACCAGGCGCAGTGATGCTGTAACACCAGCTACTCAGGAGGTTGAGGCAGGAGGATCACAAGTTTAAGGCCAGCATAGGCAACCTGGCAAGACTATGTCTCTAAACTTTTATAAAAGGGTTGGGGATGTAGCTCAGTGGTAAAGGGCTTGGTTTGCATGAACAAGCCTCTATGCTTAGTCCCCAGTATACCCCTCTCAAAAAAGAAAAAAAAAAAAATGGAGAGACAAAATAACTGTATCTTCCTTGTTGGTTGATAAAAGAAAATGTACTCAAAGTATTTAGGCCAGGGCCTAGAACTTAGAGCTCAATTTCTGCTTTAATCCTTAAAAGTGTTTGAATTATTATTGTAAATTATTTCTTCCCAAACTCAGTCTACTGATGACCAAACAACACTTAGTCAGGGAGAACTAAATATGAATTAACTTCAGTTTCCATTTGTTTATCTACATAGAAATATGGGTTTTTTCTTTGAGAACAACACAACAAATAACAATAGGTCAGTAGAACTCTTCCTACTGAGAAAGTTTCTTTTTGAAGAAAAGGGAACTAAGGGGGCCTGCATTTAGTTTCGTGCTCTGTTCATGCCCTGGCTGTTGGTTCAGGTGGAAAGTTTTTCCAACCAAGTTTAAAAAAAGACAAAAACAGTCTTACGAATCTGAAGACTCATGTTTTAGGAGACAAACCTGGATGGGAGTGTGATCTCTGAGTCTGGCCCCTGCTGATAAGGGATTATGGATTAAGTCTGAAACATCAACGCCTGTTTCCTTTTTTTACAAATCGGGCCAATGGTGATGACTAAATCAGAATCATGATGCTAAGACCAAAAAAATATGTACCTAGGTGGGCCAAGGAAGGGTCAAGTTTCTGGCACCTATTTCTTGCCTAGAAAGGAGCTAAAGTCTGCATACCAAGACTACCAGGGAAGGGCCCAAATGCTAGGTTCCAAGGATTCATTCTCTATTTAGAGGGCAGGATAGGGCCAAGGTTCAGGTCACTTCATTGGCCACGATGTTGTAAAGTTCCGCCTGTCCCTTTTCTTCAGCTTTCTAAACCCAACAAGCTTATAAAATTCTCTGAATAGAGGAATACTATATATACACAGATTTATTATATATAAATATATTTATATTATACATAATTTATAAATTTTATTATTTTTACTTTTAATCTTGTCAGTGAATTGGCTAAGCTCTGTAAATTCATGATGGGAACCTAGCCATCATTTCTAACATTGTCTGTATAGGAAAAATACTTTTCAAGATTTGAAGAACCAACTTACAACTAAGAGTTTTGGAAGGCAAAGTCATTTACCTGAAAGTTGGAGCCATGGTAGAAGTTTCACACATGAAGACTAGCCAGTCATTACCTGAGAGGCACCCTGTGTTCCTACACAGTCAGTGATCTTTGGGGCACCTGTTCTTGGTGGCACACAACAGTAACTATACTTGGTGCCCGTTATCTGCTTCCTGTTTGCCCCACACTGATTCTCACAGCAGGGGCATGGCAGTTCTCAAGTTATCAGTTTGAGATCTTGTACAGAAATGACTCCTAGGTAAAAAGTTTAAAAACAACCCTATGCTGTGCCTACCTGCTTATACATGAAACAGCCTTAGACCACTAACTCCTCACTAGATACTCATGACTGACTCAATTCTTTTGATTCCACAAACTTGTTATTAAAAGATAGGAAGTTTTGAAATAAATCTCCTCCCTATTAAGATGATTTACAGCCTTACAGTCCTTAAAGTTATTGAATGATAGTTGCCTTGTCCCACTCAGTTATGCCATTGTCACTCAAGGAAAGGGCAGTTAAGGTTAAGTTCTCAAATCTCAATGGAAAAACTAATTCATAGTGAAAAAGCAGGGTCATTCTTTTTTTGCCTTAATGTAGCATGTAATTATTTAGTATTATATTATATGATAGTGAGATCCCATCTCCACAGAATTTCTTGTGGTTTTTGTTTTTTTTTTTTTGTCTTTTTTTTTTGGTTTTTCTCCGGTACCAGGAACCGAACTCATGACCTTGCGCTTGCCAGGCAGGCGCTTTGCCTCTGAGCTAAATCCCCAGCCCCTCCACAGAATTTCTTAACAGTAGGAGTAGAGACATGTCAACTCTTCCATGTTCTCAGGTTACAACTAGTGAATTTCTTGCACATAGATAGCGTTCCCTTCTTTATCTTCCCAGGTTAGTTAGAAAATTCTTCTAGCACCTTGTGTTGCTAAAGTTGGATGAAAGATCAGACCACACTGGAAAGCCATTAGGGATTGGTAGATAATAATTTTGCAAGTGCCAGTGCATATGGGCTGGGAAACTGTTCACTCCCATATCCAGTGAACATAATCCATCCTAACTCAGTGATGGAAGGGAAATTAAAGTGGCAATCAATGAGTGCCACAGAAAGGTTAGCAATTGTTTGGAGGTTACCCATGGCCCCTGGACTGGAAACAGGGTATCTTAAAAACTTCCCAGTGTCTATGAATTTTACAATGAGTTTGACTAAATATGACGGTACACCCCCAAAGCCTACTGCAGACTGTGGGCCTGTAGCTGAAAGATTGGTCTCACGTCAAGGCACGGATGGAGCACGCAGGGAGGAAAGGGCAGTAATGCCATGTTCTTCCCTGATGTTACTCTACCTACTGTCCAGGCAGCAGATAGTACCTGCTCAAGGCTGTCCTCTTTCTTCCTTTTCCTTCTCCAGTCCAGAGTGGAGGAAAAGCACTCTGGCTTTGGTGACATCACAGAGAACACCAGGGGGTTCTCCCAAGAATAATGTCACTCACACATGTTAGGAGGCAGGCAAGTATGTGACTCTAAAGAGGCCAGGTATTGGAAAAAAGAATCTTGAAAACCTAAGTAGATTATTAGGCTCACTTCCAAGTCAAAGGCATGTAGGGTCTTAGGGGACAGAGATTATGCATCCTTTTTTCCAAATTAAGAACAGAAAATCATTAGAATGTCTAATGTAGCTATTACTCCCCTGGCAAGGTGCCTTGAAAACAATAGATATTTTCTTAAAGCTTTGCCTAATGAAAACCAAAAGTTAGTGGGCTTGTTTTAGTGTAGGTGTGTACTGACTAATTTACATGTCTCTGGGGACTGAGGTCTATAGATCGTAAAGCTTGGCACCTGCTTTGGTTGAATCTATTGCACCTAATTTCCTGTGGGTTTCTTGCTTTTTTTCACTTTAAAGTTGGTTTATTTTCATATGAAATTAAATTCACATACTTTTTTTTAGTCGCCTTGCCAGCCAGATGATAAAGCCCAGCCCAGAGAATGCAGTAACCATGACCGCCACTGGGATGAAGAGGGGATTATAGTCACCTTCCTTGATGCCTGAGAAACTTTGGTCTAATTCTGAAAGAGAAATCAACAAAGCACACAATGTGAGACTACAACATATTTTTTTAGTCCAGCTCATGATTTTAACTTTTTCCTTCTTATGCCTCTCGACACTAGACACTTTAATGCCACTTGACAGATGACAAAACTCACTTGGAGTCTATGGCAGAGGCCAGCCTCTAGCCTAATGCCTACAGAATCTCAGTCCCAGATTTGTCATCCAGGGAACTTCTGGGACCATGTCTAAAAATCTTGGTAATAAGTGGTCATCAATGTGTTTGGCTCCATGGTCTGGCTCAATGGCTCAAACTAGAAAGCATAGAGAAGATCTGGAAAGTCTAATACAACTTCAGTAAAAAGAAAAGCCAGTGATCTGAACTGAGTAACTTGTCAGTCAAAAGAAACTAGTATTGTTTTTCCTGTATGTTTAAAAAGAAGTAGTGCAAAAATAAGTACATGTTTATCTGCAGAGAACCGCACTGATCTATCAAATGATATGGTCCTATGGTGTCTCTTCATGTTTTTCACAAATTAGCAGAAGGACACATCTGCATACCCTTTTGTAAGTGTAAACTGAGTTCATTTATAGGCTTTTAGTGGAAAAAAAAAGAAAAAATCTGCTTTGTGATGCCTTCAGTTGAAGGAATCTACTTCCACATACTGGCACAGGGTCTAACTGGTCCCTTTTCTCCGTGCTGCTTTGATGAACACTTTCAAGGTGTTTCCATCCCCACACTCAAATACACAGTGGAGGCTCAAGTTCCAGAGACTTCAAATAGAGGCACCTGTTGGCTTGATGAAGATGAGGACATGGACACCAGCCAGGCCATAAAGATAAATGTACGTACCTGATAAAGCTGACCACAGTCCTCCCTAAAAATCTCCCCCTGTCTCTCTGCTCCCCACTTTACTCCACACACACAGAGGTCAGCTTCTCTGACAACTTCTACAGGTGCCACCACTTAAAGACTTTGGTTATCTATGCAAATGGCTCAGGGGAGACACTGGCAGCTATTCTTTCTTATGCCACTTCAAGGTGCATGTATTGTAGCACCTATCACCAAGTAGTCTGTCAGGTGGGGGGTATGCAAAGATGAGGAGACACGATCCTAACACAGAGACAGCTTTGGGAGACATTGGCTTGATGATCATTGAGAGGTATCATTTTTGGGGGAACTAGGTGGCCATTGGTAACCTTATAGAGGCATTTCAGGGAACTAACAGAAAAGTCACATTGTAGTGGCATAGAAGAAGGGATGAGAAACCCATTCTAAAGTCAGTAGAAACAGTTGGTTAAAACTTGAAGAGTTAAGATGGAAAGAGTTAAGAATGAAAAAAAGCAAATGGCTGTCATTAAAGGAGGAGAGAAAAACAAATGCTTTAATATAAGGTAATGTATACAAATATTTATATGCATTGGGCCATACATGTTTAACAAAATGAACTTTAAAAGTATTTCCGAGCATCTGATAAGTTTTCAGAATATTGGAGCAAGCTTACTCACTTTGACATATCGGACTACGACTGGACCACGTTCCAAATGATCCACAAGTAGTTTTCTTCTCTCCAATTAGCTCAGTGCCTTCTGAGCAACTGAAGGTACACACAGAGGAAAAGCTGAAATTGGCCAGAGGGTGACTACAGTCCAGGGTCCCAAAATCAGGTGCTGTGAGAGGCTCACACTGAATCACTTCAATGAAAAAGAACAAAACACAACAACACAAAATAGTATCTCTGAGCAGAGACCCTCTCTTGACCAAAAGATTTTTAGTTACAACTCTCCAACGTAACTGTGGAACATCTACATGAATCTAGAATTTCCTAATTGCCAGCCTTTCCTTCTGATAATGCTCCCAGATATTATTTTCTTGAGAATGATGGTGTATATGATAGGTCATGGATGATGCCAAGAGGGCACAGGAAGCCCACAGTGGAGTGGAGGTGGCTGTCCCAGGTTACTGCCCCCACCTGGTGGCTGTCCAGCCCTGCCACAAGTGCTGGGTCCTGCAGCCTCTGGTGCAAGAGCACTTGGAATATCCCCAGGGAATGTGGAGTTTCCACTTTTCCACCTGTTGTAAAGTCTAGCCAGGAACTTTTAAAATCATCTTAATTCTCTGAAGTAATCTCAACTTCTGTAAAATTAGGCAGGTGAGTTGCTTCTGATACTTCTTCTGAGAGTTAAACTATTTAAGCTGACGAATCAGGAGCATCAGTGTAGAAAATGTCTGCAAGACTTCACAAGTGCAGACGCTACCCATTTTCTCCTCTGTAGGGACAATTTTGGTAGCTAAAGGTGAGGGATCTTACTATATTTCAAAAATTTTTTAAAAAGACAAACAAATTGGTTTTGTTTTCACAGTGGTTGTTATTCTCTTAAGAGTTCATGTGGGGGGAAAGTATGAGATGATTTTAAGAATACACCAAATAAAAAAAGATAGATCTCTACCCTCTGAGAAGGAAACCAGTTGGTGTTAAGTAGGACACCACATAAAATAGGTGTTATGGAAAGGAGGGTAACCAAAATTTAACTGAGATTCAGCAAGACTGATTATTTGTACAACAGCAATTAGAAAAAAATAAAGAAAACACAATAAGCATATTGCATTGCTACAAATCATATTATAGACTGTCAGTTGGCATAAGAGGTACTTGGTTGTAGTTTCATTTGGAGGTTTTCTTTTTAATTTTAGTAAAAAAAAAAACCCTTTGAAAGGCGTCACACTGTAATCTAAATTAGGTTAAATTCTGCTGCAAGAGTGGTTACAGCCTTCTTAGCAAAACTCTACTGAACTTTTTCAGACCGTAGACCCAGGATCATCATGACAAAGCCTGTAATCTGAAGTCACTCACCTTGACAGGTTGGTTCTAGAGACGACCAGTTTCCAAATGGTCCACAAGTTGTTTCTTCCATTCCAGTTAGGTTTGTTCCATTAGAGCAGTTGAAGGCACAATGTGACCGAAAGTTGAATTCTCCCAAAGGATGAATACAATCCATGGTACCCAGCTCTGGGGCCTCCAAAGGTGCACACTGGACCACTTCAGTAAAGGAAAGAACAGTATTGGGAAAGTTAAGGGGATCTGATGCCTGAATTTGAATCTTAGTTCTGCCACTTGATAGACACATGCCTGTCGTGGGGTTCAATGAAATATCCCTGAAAGAAATGGTTCCAGTGCTAACTTTTACAGATGAACAGGTACGGTAGCCATGTGCACAATGAAAGAGAAGGCTGGGGAAAACTCAATTAGATATGAAGCGCATATGGTTGGTGGAGAACTATGACTATTACTAAAAGGAAAGAGGATGCAGGGAAGAATATGAGTTGTGATCAATGAGAAAGATAGGAGCTAAGACCAAATCCTGTTATCTTTGTCAGTGATTGATGAGTACCTAGTATATATTAAGTATTACTCTAGGCCTTAAGGAGCTTAGATTTCACTTGTAGGACAATGAGAGGTGTAAATTAAAGAGTAGATGGTCATTTTTTGTGTGTATGTGTGTGTGTTTGTGTTTTGTTTTAAACTAATTAGCCTGCCTATAGTATGTGTAACATATGGGAGCTGATTTAAAACTGTGGAGCTCATCTAGGAGACCACTGCAATAATTTAGGAGAAAGATAATGAAGGCAATGGTAATAGAGCTGAAAAGTAGGAGACATACTAGAAAAATGTTATAAAAATTGGTGCTATGTTGCCTTGCACAAATGTCAGAGGAGGTGGGAGTCTCACGTCATAACCACATATAAAGGGTGACTCCACATACCGAGATAAAAATTACAAAAGGGAAAGGTGGCTGGGGACAGTTAGCTTTGTCTATCATCTTTTAGACCTCCCAAAGGATATTCTTAGCATATTTGGCATGCGACAGATTTGTCAGTCCAATGATCACACATATTTATAAACCCACAAGTGTCAGTAAGTTTGACCACAAAGAGTCAGAAGAATAACAGAAAAGACAGAATCTGAGAATTAATACTAGCTTGTGGGTTTGACTAAGTGTCTGTGAAAGAAATCAGGAGAAATCAGCACAGGTAAAAATACAATCAGAAAAGAATGATATGATGGAAACACAAAAGAAGCGGGAAGAGGAGGAAGAAGCCGGAAGAGGGGAGGATGAAGACGATGTTTAGAAAGGAGTGAAATTGACATACCTATGATATAAGGATTTTTTTTAAGTCGTGGATGGGAGCAACACACTGAGTCAGAGTCATGGCTCAAAGGTTAAATGAAATGAATTAGATCTATTCCTGTTGATTGACATTGAAATTTACCTTGGCTTTAAATCTTTATTCTTTGTGAACTTTTTTCTTCCTATAATTTTTATGCACTAGATACATTATAGTTTTGAAAGCCAAACAACATCAATCAAAGGATCTGTTTTCTTCAGTAGTGGTTGATTGGGTCAAAGACTCTGATTTTGAATCTTTGTATTTTCTCCATTTCCACCACCATAGCTGTGAATGATTTTATAGGATTTCCAATGACCTTCTCCATCTTCTCTTTTTGCTCTCCAATCTATCCTATCTGCTGCTCTTAGAATAATTGCCCTGTGTGCCAATATTAAATACAGAGTTGCCTGTCATTGCCAAATAAAGGCCAGCTCCCTCCACTCAGCAGTCTCCAGCCCCCACAGGTATAACCCAGTTGTCTGCTTTCCACAACTCAAACATGAACACACAGAATTTCCATTCATTAATTCTAACTCCTTTAAAGGCTCAGTCTAGAATACATTTACCTTTTTATACTCCTTAAATACCCAGCCCAAGTAAATGCATAGAATTTGTTATGTATCTCTCATATGAAATGACTTTGTATAAAAAAATAAGATTACCCTCTGGATCAGTTCACCCTCCTAATGATAAATGGCATAGTTTCTTTCAGATTTTAGAATTCTGATTAATGCAGGATGTTCATTAGATTGGGAGCTTCTTGAGAATGGGAGTCTATCATACCTGATTTCTTACTGTGACCACCTTGTTCTTTGTGGTACTCAAAACAAAACAAAATGAACCCCTCCCAAAAAAACTTGGTTAGAAGTGACTTTCATAATTCATCAGAACCTCATGCTGACTTGTGAAATATTTACAGAACGATAACCATTGTGAAAGCATAACTCTGATCAGAACTTCTCATTTCTCAGAATGGCTAGTATCATTTCTTCCCAACGAACTTCTGACATAAATTATGATGATTCTTGTGCCTTTGAGAAACAAAGAAAGGAAAGGGACTTACCAAACTGGCACTGTGGCCCATAGTATCCCACATCACAGCTGCAAGTGTAATTATTGATGACTTCCACACATTCTCCATGGCCACTGCATGAGCTGGGCATGCAAGAAGCTTTAACGAGGTCAGAAAAAGATATCTTAATGTGATTACATTTTAGCACTCAGAGTCATTTCCTTAGACGTAGCTAACTTTTTGTTGGAGACTTTTTAATAAACAGGAAGGATTTTTTTCATACATTCACATAGCCCTTTTGCATAAAAATCAGGTGCTAAAATTTTTGTTTGTGAACCATACTAGACATTTGGCCATAGGCATTTATATGCTTTTAAAATACATTTATAGATAATAATAGTATAACATTTTGGGGACACACAGGGGCATATATAGAAACCCTTGAAATTATTTGTTTTTCATATGATAAACTTATTAATGATGACCTGACCTTAATCATTTCTGCACTCTGCTTAACAATACCTTTCTTTATAGAAAGTGCTAAGATTAAAATATCCAAAGTTCTAAAATAGTAAGATCCAATTTATGAAAGACCAAATTCGCTGTATTTCACTGTTAAAATATGACTTGGAAAAATACTGTGTCTGAATTTTGTAATAGTTTGCACAGAAATAAATTGTCATATGCTGATAGTGCAATACCTTGCTGTACAGAATTAATAAGATTAGGCCAAGAAGAAAACATCTAGCACAAGCCCCCTACTCCACAGGGAGGAAGCAGGTGATTTGAATCCAAGCTATAAACCAGCCCCAAGTCGCAGGGCCCACTGAGGGCTCTGGCTATCCAGCTCCTCCTGATCTCCCACACAGCGGGCCAATCGCCTTGATGGAACTGAATTCAGAGGTATAGGGGACTGGCTTTACACACTAAAAATGCTCAGCTGTGACAAGATCCAGCTGATTTAGAGGACTGGAGGTGTTTTAGATGAAGCAGTAAGTGCTGTCCTCCCCTGGCCCTCCCGTGGCATGGTCAGATTGTTCTAACTCGAGTGGCCCCGAGCAGGAGGTAACAGTGGACACGGTGTGGTCACTCCCACCTGTGTAGCACAGGGCTGTCTTGCGTTTGTGGCAGGCGTCATCATTCCACTTCCCCGAGTCTTTGGACCTCTTGATGTAGATCTCTACGCAGTCCTCCTTGGACTTCTTGTTGTTGGGTTCCCCAGCCCCCCAGTTCTCCGCTTCCTTGGTGAGGGACTTGTTGGTTCCCACCCACGTCCAAGTATTTCCTGTCTTCCGGATCCCTATCCAGTAGTAAGTGCGGCTGAAGGGCAGAGTCTTCTCCAGGTACTCAATCTCTCCTTTGTTTTGGATGGCAACTAAATCCGTGTAATTTGCTTGACAGAACATCCTAGCCTTTTCCCACTGCATGGGATTTTCAGAATAATGATAAGTCCAACAGTCAGTCCCATGATGTGCCAGGAAATCTGAAAGACATCAGCATAACATGTGTGATACCTCAGCACTAACCCAGCTGAGCCCACCACTGGGAGATGAGGAACAGAGAAGGAAAAGTCCAGGTGACTGGCTTAGGACCCCAGTGTCAGCTGTTTGCAGATCTGAAATGGAGCTCTGACTTTCTGATTGGAGTATAGAAGCCTTTATTCATGCTGTCGCTTTACTTGAATGCACCGGCTTTCTAGATTTATTTTCATGAAATAGTGTTTTCTGAAAATGTTTTCAAGCGAAACTTAACCAACATATTTTAGAAATTCATTTTTCTTTTTTATTTTGTGGTACTAGGAATTGAACCCTGGGGATTTCTAAGGAAGCACTCTACCATTGAGCTATAACCCCAGGTAGAAATTCAGAGGCTGAGGCCAGAGGATTGCAAATTTGAGCCTAGCCTGGGCAATTTTGCAATTTAGTGAGACCCTGTCTCAAAAAACAAACAAACAGAAGGGGAGTAACAGAAAAAGAAAAAAAAAGAAATTCATATTTTATTTTCTTCATGGCTATTAATCATTTGAAAATAATTGAAATATAATATTGTATAACTGTAAAATTAACAGTTTACTTTTTTTATATCCTGGGATAATTTCCTAAAGGCCAATATGTATTATTGTTTTCTTGATATATATGTGTATATATATATATATATATATATATATAAATTTTCTAAGGCCTGCTCCTCAAGGAGAAGCAAAATAAGAACAGGAAAGACAGTGACATACTTTTACATACTCTCTTCCATATCAAAAAGATAATACTTAATATAGGAAAAGCTGTTGTGGGAATGCCTCAATTCATAGTCCAAGCCTTATGTAGCTAACTGTATAGAAAAAAAATTTACAAAACCAAATGATGTAGGGTTATGAAATTGATTACATCATGTTATGTAAGTGAAGATAGCCAGCTAAGAGTGCTTAACAAACGTATGAGTGCTTCAACTGTAAGGGCTTTGAAGAAGCACAATTAAACAATAATTATGTAATTATACTAAGACCCTTTAATGATAGATGCCATTCTAAGCATGGTATGATCTATGTGAAATACTATTTTACAGGAAGGTAGAAGTTTTTACAGTCATCTATCTTTGTTGTGTTTTCACTGTGTAAAGCAAGCACCATGGAGAAATGCCAAGTCATGGTTAGATCCAGTTCTTATGGTTTCTTTAGGTTTCTGGACAAGGAATAACACATGCAAAGAGAAAATAATTAACCTCAATCAGATCAAATACTCTAGAAATGAGCAGAGAACTAGAAAACACACGATTAATGAGTAAAGAATATCCTACAATAACATCATAAACATGGTTTTGAAATTTCATTTCCACTAGAATTTAAGTTCTAACATGGAATAAACTGTCGTGGCCACTGCTGTATCCTTAATATCCAAAACTGAAAATAGTAGAGACTCAGGAAATACTTGCTGAATGAAAATGATGCTAGGTTCTCATAAGACATAGGGCTGACATGGGTAGGGAATATGTAAGAGGTGATTGAAAATTATGGAAAATGTTTAAATTTTAAAAATGTATAACAGTAAAAGACACATGGCCATTAATCCCCCTCCAAATCTTCCCCTTGCCTCACACACACACACACACACACACACACACACACACATCCCATTGTTCTTGCCACTTTTTGTAGCAGTTCTGGAAGTCCTCTTTCCTGAGTGTCATTAAAAGGTGTGATGAATATATGTTGAATTCTGCCAAATGCCATCCACCAAATGGCAAGCTTATACAGATATCCTAGTTTGTCCTCATCCACTGGATTGGGCACCGTGCAACTTCTGGCTCTTCCCCAAAGTCAAAAATGACCATGAAATGTAAGTAGTTTGCATAGATTCAGGACACTGAGTCAGCCACAGAAATGTAACTAAAGACACTCATGAACTAAAGACACTCCAGAACTGCTTAGGAAAGTGGCAATCATAATGAGATAAGTGTGTTAGAAATGTTGTGGGGGTGGTATTTTGAAGGGGATTAATAATAATGTGTATTTTACTGTGATAATTTTTTCTAGTTTAGGCATTCACTGTAGGTTTTTTTTTTAAATCACACAGAGAATGAAAAGCATAGTAGGTGTGTTTGCACAATCAGAGCTGAAAATCCAAGGAGGTATGAAGACATTAGCTTACCCAAGAAATAGGAAAGAAACCTCAGAGCTATTGCTGGAGAGTCTTTAAGACTCAGACACAAAACTTGTAACGTCAGTGGAAGAAGGATCAAAATAATTTTTAAAAACCCTGCCTTAAAGAGTTAGAATATAGCTGTAGAAATTCCACTGATAGACAATAAACTAATAGAAAATGAAGTGCTAAATAACTGGGTACAGATTATGAAGGCCTTATGACAGATCTCTTAATTAACTGTATCCCTTCAAAATTGAAAGTTTTGTGAGATTATCAAGGTTTGGACCTGGAAGCAAAGGGTATGGCAGGTAAAGATAGGATCAGGAGGTTCCAGGCAAATGCTAGAGGTAAGAGGAAGAAAAGAGATACTCATAGAAAGTATAGAATTGCATCTAATTCTACCTGATAATTTTCTCTAATTATTAGTCTACCTAATAATTTTCTCTGCAACTGTTTACTCTCAATGGCTATTCAAGAAAAGTGATCCTTAGTTAAAAAGTCTTCGCAATATACAAATATCACAACATACCACAACAAAGCACTGCCCAGATCCACAATGTGAAGATCTTGCATAAACTGCTTGGAGAACTCTGACATTTCCATTGAAATATCTGCAGTGAAATACAGAAGGATATTTAGAGTGTAAACCACAAATGTATAGTACCTTGAGGTGGTGCCTACAAGTTCCTTAAATTTCAAAACATAACACACATACTAATCTTACCCAAGGTAATATTGTTCTCAGATATAAATGAAAAACTTGCATTAAATTTATCCCAAAACTGATGCATAGTTTCGAATCCATTTTTTAGTCTTAAATTGCTGATCATTATTGCTCTGATGTTTTTCTGTATTTCAGTAATTTTTGTACCTGATTTTCTGTCCAACTTTCAGATCAAACTATTTAACATATGGTGTGCTTATTTTAGAAAGTGTCTGTGGTGCTTAATAAACTTTGGTGATATTTAGATTTATCCGCTTACTTGATCATGATGGGTCAGTGCCTTAAGTACCTAAAAGAATTAAATAGCCAGACAAGAGCCAGGAAAGGAAAATAGTTCATTTTGATCCAAATAAGAAGTACATTTTTAAGCAACTCAAATGAGGAAAACCACAGATTTTATGCAGACCTTAGAACCCTACTTTCTGAAGCATATCATTTTCCAGGTAGCTGTTATGTTTTATTGCGAAACTAGAATCTCACCAGAGACAATGTAGGGGAGATGGACATCAACATCTGAGAGGAGAGATGCTGGGATCACTTTTGTGAGACCCTAAGGGTATTTTTTATTTCTACCATTTTTAAAACCATTGGCAAGATTAGTTGCCTCTTGTCCCCATGCAACCTGGCTCTACAACACCAAGAAGAGTTTCACTCTGAGTATTTGGAAATTATGTAGGCTGGAAGCTCACCATGGCTTTGTTTGTTTCTTCTCCAGTTCCTCTGCAGCCTTGTAGCCTTCTCAGCTCAGCCTCTGGGGTGTCAGGTCCCTGTAAAGGGGAGCTGCTGTGCTTCAGGAAGGTTGTCCCAAGTGCCACCCACAAGAGCTGCTTGCTTTCATTTCTCTAGACTAGTCTCACATCCTCCTCCTCCCCTCCCACCTCTTCTTCTCTCTCCACTTTTCCCCACCCCTTCTCTATACTGACCTCTATCACCTCCCCTAAGAAAAAAGCTGCAGACTAGAAGGTACTTTGGCTAGATTTTTCCTACTTTTCTCTCTCCATCTTTACCTACTTCTTTCTACTTTATGCATATTTGCCTTCCTTCTCCTCTTCTGTCCCATATCATATTTATTGCAATTCTTCTTCTTCCTCCTTGTTTCTATTTTTATTCCTTCTCCTCATTTTTTCTCTCCTCCTACTTGTTGTCCTCCATTTCTCCTTCTTCTCCCCCACCCCTCCATTTCACTTTAAAACACTAGGCTAACCCCTGTCCTGGTAATAGCACAGATCACAGCTGTATTTTGGACAAATTTATGACTTCTGTCAAACCAGGAGACTTGACTAATTTCAATTACTTCTCCTCCACCTTTCCTTGCTCACCCCCTAGTGGAAGTCTTTGTTCATGGCACTTCCTAAATTTAAACCCTGAGATTTAGGAACCCACAAGTATCTTTATATTTGTTGTTTTTTAAAAAATTTTTCTTTTTTGTCTTTTTCTTGAGACAGGGTCTCGCTATGCAGTTCAGGCTGGCCTTGAGCTCACTTTGTAACCCAAGCTGGCCTCGAACTCACAGTGATCCTCCTGCCTCAGCCTCCCAAGTGCTGGGATTACAGGCCTGTGTCACCACGCCCAGCTTATATTTCTGGAGTATAAAACGTGAGGGAAATAAAACAGCCTGTTAAATTAGGGTTCATCTGATGAAACACAACAGAAAAGAAGTGTCATGGCATAATCAGATTTGCATTTTAAGAAATGTAAAATTAACCAGAGCTGTAGGGCTTAGTACCTCATGTAATTACCTTACTTAATCTTTTTTTTATTTTAAAAGACTAAAAAAATAAAATAAAATAATAACAGCAAAGACAAAAATAAAACAACACAAAACAATAAAGATGTGCAGGGTTTCAAAACAAAATGATAGGAATTAACAGTGGTTGTTATATATTGTTATCTTCAACAAAGTTGCTCAGATTACCAGATGTAAGAATGCAAGATAGATCAAACAATTAAAGAGAATAAAAAGTAATAAAAAACCAGAAATGGTACAGAGCTTTGCTAAACAAGATGGTAGGAATTCACCAATGGTTGTCATACTGCATATCAAATCAGTTGCTCAGATTACCAGATATAAGCATGTAAAACTGCTCAAGAAAAAAATGTAAGCATTAACTGTTCCTTTCAATAAACTATTAGACATCATCAGTACAATTATCCCAGTTTATATATACATACATATTTTTTCCCTTCCTTCTTTCTTTTCTCCTTCACTCATCCCAGTTGTTCCTTCCCTTTGAGCAATTTCTTTCCCTTTCACAGGATCTATTGTACCTTTTGGGTTTTATTTACTCTTTCAGGTCCTTAAAACTAGGGAGACAATATGATGTTTACACACATGAGTCTGATGTATTTTATTTATGAGTATGGTCTCTAGTTGCATCCACTTACCTATAAAAGCTTCAAGTTTATCTTTTTTTATAGCTGGGTAATACTACATTATACAAAAATAAAAATACCATGTCTTTTTACTCCATTCCTCCATAGATGGGCATTTGGGTTGTTTCCAAGATTTAGCTATGACAAATTGTGCTGCTATAAACATGGGTGCACATATATCACTGTGGTATGGTGTCTTTAATTCTTCTGGGACAATACCCAGAGGGGGAATAGCTAGGTTAAGTGGGACTTCTAATCCTAGTTTTGTGAGGAATCTCCAAACTGATTTCCACAGTGATTTCACCAATCTACACTCCCACCAGCAGTGAAGAAGTGTTCCTTTCTCCTCAAAGCCCCTCCAGCATTTGCTATTAGTTGATTTCTTGATGGTAGCCATTCTTTCTGGAGAAAGATGGAATCTCAATGTTGTTTTCATTTGCATTTCTCAAATCACTAATGATGTTGAACATGTGGTTGGATCTTTCTCTGGTTTTGGTATCAGTATAATACTTGCCTCCAGAAATGAGTTAGGAAGAATTGCTTCCTTTTCAATTTCATTGAAGAGCTTGAGAAGAATTCGAATTAAATCTTCTCTAAATTTCTTGTAGAATTCAGCTGTGAATCCATCAGGCCCTGGGATTTTCTTTGTTGGTGGGTCTTTAATCACATTTTCAATTTCAATAATTGATACTGGGTTATTCGGGATCTGTGTTTCTTCTTGATTCAACTTTGGTCATTCATACTTATCTAGGAATCTGTCCATTTCTTCTGTGTTCTCCATACTATGGTAGAAAAGATCATCAAAGTACGTATTGATGATCTGAATTTCTGTAGGATCATGGTGATTTCATCCTTTCCATTCCTTATTGCAGGAATTTGAGTTTTTTCTTTCCTTTTTTGATAAGGTTGGCTAGGGGCTTATTAATTTTATTTATTCTTTCAAAGAACCAACTCTTTGATTCATTCATTCTTTATAGTGTTTTCTTTGCCTCAATTGCATTAATTTCTGCCCTGATCTTTATAATTTCCTCTCTTCTTTGGGCTTTGGGCTTGACTTATTCTTTTCTAAGTTTGAGTTGCAGTATTAGGCTATTTATTTGTTCTCATTCTGTTTTTGTCACGTGTGAGTTCACCGCTATGAACTTCCCTCTGAGAACTGCTTTCAGTGCATCCACATATTCAGGTAAGTTGTATTTAAATTTTTGTTTGTTTGTAGATACTATTTAATTTCTTCTTTAATTTCATCTGTGACCCATTGGTTGTTCAGGAGGCTGTTATTTAATTTCCATGTGTTTGTAGAGTTTTTGTGGTTCTTTTTCTCATTAATTTGCATTTTATTGTACTATGGTCAGATAGTATGCATGGGATAATTTCAATTCCTTTGCATTTACTTAAGCATGTTCTATGACCTAGTATGTGGTCTATTCTTGAGATCATTCCCTGTGTATCTGAGAAGAATGTGTGTTCTGAGGTTGTTAGGTAGAACACTCTGTAGACATCTACTCAGTCCATTTCTTCACAAGTTTCATTTAGTTCTGTTATTTTTTTGCTGATTTCAATGGGGTGTTAAGGTCACAGTGTTATTAGTTATTTGGTTTTTCCTGTCTATTAAAGTTTGTCTTATGTAGTTGGGTGATTCCATATTGGGTGCATACATGTTTATGATTGTTATGTCTTCCTCTTAAAATTGTCCCCTAACAAGTATGTAGTGACCTTCTTCATCTGTTTTGATCATTCTTGGTTTGAAGTTCGCATTGTCTGCAATCAGAATAGCTACCCCTGCTTTTTTCTGGGTTCCTGTCACATGGAGAATTATTTTCCAACCTTTCACTTTCAGTCTATGAATTTCCTTTAGAGTTAAATGTGTTTCTTGTATACAGCATATTGTTGGATTATGTTTCTTGATCCACTCTGCCAGTCTGCTTCTTTTGATTGGTGAATTGAGGCTGTTTACAGTAGTGGTTATAACTGTTATGGGCTGGCTTGTCTTTGTCATGTTATTTACTTGCTGTTGTTTTCCTACTTTTACTCTCTGTTTAATTTCTTCCTCTACTAGATGGTTCCTTTCCATTGTTGTTCTTGAAATTGTGGTTATTTTTATCTCTTTCTAGAATATCTTTTAGTACTCTTTGTACCATTGGTTTGATGATCATGAAGTTCTTCAGTTGTTCTTTGTCATGGAAGTATTTTATTTCTCCATTAAATTTGAAGGATAGTTTTGCAGGATACGTCAGTCTGGGTTGGAGCTTAGAGCTTCACTCCAAGCTCTTCTTGATATGATGGTTTGTGTTGAGAAATATGTCAGCTTTTAATATTTATCCTTTTGCTAGGTTTCTGGGATCTTGATTATTATATGTCTGGGTGTAGTTTTATTTTGGTTATGGCTTGTTGGTGTTCTATATGCCTCACTCACCTGTATTTCAGATTCTTTTTCCATACTTGGGAAATTTTCTGCTATTACTTCTGCAAATAGCCTTTTATGTCATTTTTGTTGACTCCTGCTTTTTCATTGACACCTACTAGTCTTACATTGTTCCTCTTTGCATCATCTTGCAACTGTTGAATTGTTATTTCCTAGTTGCTTGTAATTTTTAAGAGATCTTTCCTTTCATAATCGTCAGCTGCAATGCTGTTTTCAAGATCTGAAGGTCTCTCTTCAGCTTCATTCAAGTGGTTTTGCCAGGTTTTGATGGAAGTTTTGATTTCCTGGATATCTGTGTAAATCTGTTTCATGCATTCTAGTTCTTTTCTATATTGTTCATTTAACATTTCCATTGTTTTTCTATGCTCATCTATTTTTTTATATATGTCCTCTTTAGATGTGCTGAGCAATTCTTTCATTATTGTTTTCATTTCATTTTTTTTATCTGTGAGATTATGTCTGATCTGCTTTCTTCTATGGCCTTATGGAGTTATTTCTTTACTTCTGTTGCAATCCAAAGATTTCAGGTGTGTGACTTCTGAGTTCTCCTACATCGATATCTCCTGGACTTGTTCTGGTTGGGGTGGAATTCTGAGATTGCATTTTGGTCCTTCATCTTGTCATTTTGGATGTCGGAGGCAAAGTACTGGGTCTCACCCTTCCTAGGCAGCTCACCAGAAGGTCTCTCAGGCCCCTAGATTTCCTCATTGTCAGGCTTGCCCCATGATGGCAGCAGGAGGTGTGCCACTGGGCCTGGGATCCCCAGGCAGTTGATGGAATGCATAGCTCAGATGAGAGCCCCAGTGGCGATGGAGTGCTCACCTTCAGGACCAGGGTCCCCAGGCGGCTGACTAAGGACACCTGGGCTTCAGGCTGATCCACAATGTCAGCGGAACATGGGGTGCTGGATTGGGGTCCTCAGGCAGCTGATGGGGCATACCTGTCTCTTCAGGGCTTAAGGTGCAACCCACAATGTCAGTAGGACTTGGAGCACCTGTCTGAGTTCCCCAGGCAGATGACTGAGGGTGCCCAGGGGCCTCAGGCATAACCCATAATGTTCATGG